GGTTAGCTAATAAACAAGATAACAGTTTATCAGGTTAGCTAATAAACAAGATAACAGTTTATTAGGTTAGCTAATAAACAAGATAACAGTTTATCAGGTTAGCTAATAAATAGGATAAAAGTTTATCAGGTTAGCTAATAAATAAGATAACAGTTTATCAGGTTAGCTAATAAACAAGATAACAGTTTATCAGGTTAGCTAATAAATAAGATAACAGTTTATCAGGTTAGCTTATAAACAAGATAACAGTTTATCAGGTTAGCTAATAAACAAGATAACAGTTTATCAGGTTAGCTAATAAACAAGATAACAGTTTATCAGGTTAGCTAATAAATAAGATAACAGTTTATCAGGTTAGCTTATAAACAAGATAACAGTTTATCAGGTTAGCTAATAAATAAGATAACAGTTTATCAGGTTAGCTAATAAATAAGATAACAGTTTATCAGGTTAGCTAATAAATAAGATAACAGTCTATCAGGTTAGCTAATAAATAAGATAACAGTTTATCAGGTTAGCTAATAAACAAGATAACAGTTTATCAGGTTAGCTAATAAACAAGATAACAGTTTATCAGGTTAGCTAATAAATAAGATAACAGTTTATCAGGTTAGCTAATAAATAAGATAACAGTTTATCAGGTTAGCTAATAAACAAGATAACAGTTTATCAGGTTAGCTAATAAACAAGATAAAAGTTTATCAGGTTAGCTAATAAACAAGATAACAGTTTATCAGGTTAGCTAATAAACAAGATAACAGTTTATCAGGTTAGCTAATAAACAAGATAACAGTTTATCAGGTTAGCTTATAAATAAGATAAAAGTTTATCAGGTTAGCTAATAAACAAGATAAAAGTTTATCAGGTTAGCTAATAAACAAGATAACAGTTTATCAGGTTAGCTTATAAATAAGATAAAAGTTTATCAGATTAGCTAATAAATAAGATAACAGTTTATCAGGTTAGCTAATAAATAAGATAACAGTTTATCAGGTTAGCTAATAAATAAGATAACAGTTTATCAGGTTAGCTAATAAACAAGATAACAGTTTATCAGGTTAGCTAATAAATAAGATAACAGTTTATCAGGTTAGCTAATAAATAAGATAACAGTTTATCAGGTTAGCTAATAAACAAGATTACAGTTTATCAGGTTAGCTAATAAATAAGATTACAGTTTATCAGGTTAGCTAATAAATAAGATTACAGTTTATCAGGTTAGCTAATAAATAAGATAACAGTTTATCAGGTTAGCTAATAAACAAGATAACAGTTTATCAGGTTAGCTAATAAACAAGATAACAGTTTATCAGGTTAGCTAATAAACAAGATAACAGTTTATCAGGTTAGCTAATAAATAAGATAACAGTTTATCAGGTTAGCTAATAAACAAGATAACAGTTTATCAGGTTAGCTAATAAATAAGATAACAGTTTATCAGGTTAGCTAATAAACAAGATAACAGTTTATCAGGTTAGCTAATAAACAAGATAACAGTTTATCAGGTTAGCTAATAAATAAGATAACAGTTTATCAGGTTAGCTAATAAATAAGATAACAATTTATCAGGTTAGCTAATAAATAAGATAACAGTTTATCAGGTTAGCTAATAAACAAGATAACAGTTTATCAGGTTAGCTAATAAACAAGATAACAGTTTATCAGGTTAGCTAATAAACAAGATAACAGTTTATCAGGTTAGCTAATAAACAAGATAACAGTTTATCAGGTTAGCTAATAAATAAGATAAAAGTTTATCAGGTTAGCTAATAAATAAGATAACAGTTTATCAGGTTAGCTAATAAACAAGATAACAGTTTATCAGGTTAGCTAATAAACAAGATAACAGTTTATCAGGTTAGCTAATAAACAAGATAACAGTTTATCAGGTTAGCTAATAAATAAGATAACAGTTTATCAGGTTAGCTAATAAACAAGATAACAGTTTATCAGATTAGCTAATAAACAAGATAACAGTTTATCAGGTTAGCTAATAAATAAGATAACAGTTTATCAGGTTAGCTTATAAATAAGATACAAGTTTATCAGGTTAGCTTATAAATAAGATAACAGTTTATCAGGTTAGCTAATAAACAAGATAACAGTTTATCAGGTTAGCTGATAAATAAGATAACAGTTTATCAGGTTAGCTGATAAATAAGATAACAGTTTATCAGGTTAGCTAATAAATAAGATAACAGTCTATCAGGTTAGCTAATAAATAAGATAACAGTTTATCAGGTCAACTAATAAATTCATTTCAGTATCACCTTATCACTGTAGCACTTAGCAGCAAACAATGATTTTATTATGCGATAGCTTTAACTCTTCAAGGTTGCTGCACTGCGGCTGGCTGTAGCCTGAAACACTAATATAAACTGCGCATCGTGGTCAAATTTCTAAATGCTGACATTTTTTTCTGAAGTTTCAATCAAGTGAAGGGGAATGTATTTACATAATCAAGGACAATTAATTGATGAAATGAAGTGAAGTGAGTTGCTAACTCAAATAAAACAATAACTTTAACTCTCAGAGCACGCAAACTTTATTTTACATCTCGATTGCAGAGCACGCTGACGTACTACGATACTGTATTAGGGGAGGGGGAGTGGACTTATCTCACCGATGAGGCAAAGGAGGTCAACTTTACAACCAGATTCGAGTGTCAGGTATTTCAACTTTACAACCAGATTCGAGTGTCAGGTATTTCAAGTTACCACCAGATTCGAGTGTCAGGTATTTCGAGTTACCACCAGATTCGAGTGTCAGGTATTTCAAGTTACCACCAGATTCGAGTGTCAGGTATTTCGAGTTACCACCAGATTCGAGTGTCAGGTATTTCAAGTTACCACCAGATTCGAGTGTCAGGTATTTCAAGTTACCACCAGATTCGAGTGTCAGGTATTTCAAGTTACCACCAGATTCGAGTGTCAGGTATTTCAAGTTACCACCAGATTCGAGTGTCAGGTATTTCGAGTTACCACCAGATTCGAGTGTCAGGTATTTCAAGTTACCACCAGATTCGAGTGTCAGGTATTTCGAGTTACCACCAGATTCGAGTGCCAGGTATTTCAAGTTACAACCAGATTCGAGTGTCAGGTATTTCGATTACCATCAGATTCGAGTGTCATGTATTTCGAGTTACCACCAGATTCGAGTGTCAGGTATTTCGATTACCATCAGATTCGAGTGTCAGGTATTTTGAGTTACCACCAGATTCGAGTGTCAGGTATTTCGAGTTACCACCAGATTCGAGTGTCAGGTATTCCGAGTTACCATCAGATTCGAGTGTCAGGTATTTCGAGTTACCACCAGATTCGAGTGTCAGGTATTTCGAGTTACCACCAGATTCGAGTGTCAGGTATTTCGATTTACCACCAGATTCGAGTGTCAGGTATTTCGATTTACCACCAGATTCGAGTGTCAGGTATTTCGAGTTACCACCAGATTCGAGTGTCAGGTATTTCAAGTTACCACCAGATTCGAGTGTCAGGTATTTCGAGTTACCACCAGATTCGAGTGTCAGGTATTTCGATTACCATCAGATTCGAGTGTCAGGTATTTCGAGTTACCACCAGATTCGAGTGTCAGGTATTTCGAGTTACCACCAGATTCGAGTGTCAGGTATTTCGAGTTACCACCAGATTCGAGTGTCAGGTATTTCGATTACCATCAGATTCGAGTGTCAGGTATTTCGAGTTACCACCAGATTCGAGTGTCAGATATTTCGATTTACCACCAGATTCGAGTGTCAGGTATTTCGATTTACCACCAGATTCGAGTGTCAGGTATTTCGAGTTACCACCAGATTCGAGTGTCAGGTATTCCGAGTTACCACCAGATTCGAGTGTCAGGTATTTCGAGTTACCACCAGATTCGAGTGTCAGGTATTTCGAGTTACCACCAGATTCGAGTGTCAGGTATTTCGATTTACCACCAGATTCGAGTGTCAGGTATTTCGATTTACCACCAGATTCGAGTGTCAGGTATTTCGAGTTACCACCAGATTCGAGTGTCAGGTATTTCGAGTTACCATCAGATTCGAGTGTCAGGTATTTCGAGTTACCACCAGATTCGAGTGTCAGGTATTTCGATTTACCACCAGGTTCGAGTGTCAGGTATTTCGATTTACCATCAGATTCGAGTGTCAGGTATTTCGATTTACCATCAGATTCGAGTGTCAGATATTTCGATTACCACCAGATTCGAGTGTCAGGTATTTCGATTACCATCAGATTCGAGTCATTCGAGTGTCAGGTATTTCGATTACCACCAGATTCGAGTGTCAGGTATTTCGAGTTACCACCAGATTCGAGTGTCAGGTATTTCGATTTACCATCAGATTCGAGTGTCAGGTTTACCATCTGCATCAGATTGGAGTTTATCACCAGTGCAACATATAGATTGAATCGAGCTAAAAATGTGCGATACGTTTATCTTGATAATGTTTCGCCTGAAAGATTCTATTGACATTTCTCAGACAAGTTCTAACATACTTTATTTGACAGTTTCTAACGTTACCGTTCGAGTTCCCCTACTACTCGGACATAATAAATCGTATTGGAGTGACTAAACTCGGTTTCGTTTATACAGGTATGTCAAGTTTTCTACACACTACACGTGTTCTGTTTTACTTTTAATATGTAATTTAGACATTATTGAGAACTTATTAATTAAGTTGACCATTATGATGTAGAAAAACTTAGCATATTTTTGTGATCATGTAAGTTAGTCCCAACGTCACGTAACGACAACCTGACTTCTATAACCTGACTCCCCAATTTACTACATGACGTTACCGAGTACATGATGTCACCGAGTACATGACGTCACCGAGTACATGACGTCACCGAGTACATGACGTCACCGAGAACATGACGTCACCAAGTATCCTTTACAGGTCCATTCAGTAACGCGAGGTTAACAGAACTGATGCACATTGCACCTCTAATGAACTTGTACACCTTGGAAGGTGGTACCGTCAAGTATGAGACTTTGGTAGAAGACAAAGGTAAGTGTTCTGTACTTTTACATTACGATTAAATATTATTATGAGTTGCATGATATTGATAGTTAAAACGATAATTAAAGTAACTAAACATAGATTCAATGAGTTGAAAACGCAAACTGTCATTATCATACCATAATTTTTTATTAAACTCTATAAAGAACGGCTTTAGATTATATCGCTAATGTAAACTTATTTTACGCTGCAATTATTCGCGAATTTTAAAAGTTTTCAAAACAGTATTTCTACCAAATATCACAACACAGAAAATAATGCAAAATTAAATATTAGCGTTTTGATAAATCGACTCTCCGAGCTAGTTTGTTGATAAGCAGATATCGCATCTTCATTTCTTGTACAACAGATATAGATTCATCATCAATTAGAGACGTTTTCCAAGAAAAGATTTCATCTTCTTTAACACTGGCATGGCCTGGGAAATTTACTATTTAAAAAATTTTAAAAATGTATCCTCAAATAACTACAGTTTATGTTCGAGTTGCATTATCATAATTTAATTTTATATTAATTGGCTGCTGCTGCATCAATGAAATTAAACAATTTAAAAGATTAAAAATTGGTAAACACAAAAAAACAAAATTAAAAAATTCCCTCACTGTGTCAGCTTCACGGTCTTGATGTATCTCCAACAAACAATCGTAATGCAAATGTACTTTCAATTTCGGCTTTTTTTCTTCTTTTCCTGAAAATATACTCGATAGCTCACAATTATTTTACTATACTAATTAAGTAATTTATATAGTGAAACATATAGTATTTCAAGTATTATATAAAGGGCCGGATCCAAAATATAACAAGAATTGCGCCCGTTGTTTCGTTTTGGCGGACGCTAGATTTCCGTTCACTATAACTATAAATATAAGCTCCAATCAGCTCACTTCATAATAATAATATTGATACACATCAGTACACTATACTACGCATGCCACGTACAAATTGGGCTTGGCCCGCTTATAACCTAATACTATACATTACATGCACCCTTATATACATTGAAACACAGTCGCGCCGCGCATTCATTGACCACAGGCTATCTATACATCACATCTCCGCAAGCAATCCTCGCGCGCTGCACTGCGCGCTGGTTGTCATGGTAACGGACGGAAGGACAGATGACAACATATTCAGACCCGCCTACCGCTATCTCCAAAATCCACGTTTTTCTGCAAAAACGTCCATTCGTAACCTTTCACTATTGCCTTTTTACAAAAGGGTGAACGAAAAAATGTCGAGATTACTGGTGACCAGAAAAATTCTATACAGGGTGTTTCATAAACAATGTCCTGATTTTAAAAAGAAATATATTTTATAATAGGAGTGCAAAAAGCCAATACTGAATATTACACACTCAAACGTCTGTCCTTTTCCTTGACGACACGGTAAGCAGTGTAGATTGGGACCATTATCAAACTGAAGGGAAAAACCCAGGGTATTCCCCCCTTATACTCCTGGAAGGAACGATGAATTATTATTAACGTTATATTTTATTATTTATTGTATAAAAATGTTGTCCAAAAATAATCAAATATTGCAAGAGATTTATAGTATGTAAAGTAGCGTATCATAATGATAATATCATATAATATATATATATATATATAATGAAAGATAAATTATCATCAGAAACTGTAATAAGTAATTAACTAACCGAAAAAAGTTGACATCTAGAATACTTCCACTCTGTGTCCTCGTTACTTTGTATGTTCACATACCTGTGAAAATAGCAAAAAATAGTGAAAAATAGTGAAATATAGTGAATAATTGTGAAAATTGTGAAATTCATTACTTTTCTCTTGATCAGCATTAAACTTTAAGTTGTCAAAAGTACATAACAGTAATTTTCATATACCAGGCCTCTCGGGGGAAATTTAAAGTGCAATTTTTTTCCTATCCCGTGCAAATTATAGAAAAAAAGTACAGGTGTGCAAACCATAAAAGGCATATTATATCATGTCACAAACAATTCTTACGGACAATTTACGCACTAAACATGGTACTAACGTGTTATTCAGCATCGCAATTAGAGTGTTCAGAATGATGATAGCTCCGATAACTGAGTACGCTAACGTTAACACCAGGACAATCCAATATGTCACTATATGGTCCTTTGATAACTCCTTGTGGTGGTGGGCAGATTTCTAATTAGCTAATTAGTAAATTAGAGTGATCGGAATGATGATAACATCAATTTCATATGACATTCATGTCAAAAACAATAGAATTAATTAATGACATAAAATTGATAATATAAAGAAATGTAATCTTGATGACAACGATGATGACATGAAAAGAAAATATGTTCAGTGAACAATTATCTGATCATTGGCGCTATCTTTTACTTCAAGTTCTGTTTCAAAATATTTAATTTATAGAAATTTATTTATTTGTTAAATTTATTTAATTTATGGAAATAATTATAAATCAACCGTACATCATAGCTGAAGATGTCAAAAAGAGTCCAGATCATGCTGACAAGAACTTTTTCAAATGTGCTGAACTGCTCATAGTATGGTGTGCCCGTAACCTTTCTGTGACAATTAGCAATGCAGAGTATTGCACAAACAAATCCTGTGGTTAATTAGGAGTTAATTTAATTAATTGGACATTATTATATTACCTGTACTGAGTACATATGATTTATTGTGTCAACTAAGAAATATTGTCATAAGTTAGCATGAACAAAATTAGAATATATATAGAAAACTAGAAAATAGAATATATTATGTAATAAACAATAGTATTACCTAGCAATATAATCACAAGAAGGACGAGTAATTTAGCAACATCACTCAGCATCTTTTTAACAGCAAGCTGTAGAGGCCCAATCACGCTCATCACGTCCAGGAAGTTCATCACACGAAAAAACACAAACATTTGGGTTATACCTGCAAAGATATGTTATTTAGTTAAAAATAAAATAACAATGAGATAACATCAAGATAACATCGAGATACATTTAAAATTTTAAGGCTTATTGACACATCAAAATTTCTCAATTTCGTTGGCTACCAATATTTACACTATGTCTGCAATGACCCCTAGTAAATATCTTTGTTCTCAGTACTTACTATATAAGTAGATTGATGTCAAGGTATTGGTTTTAAAACCTTCCACCAATTTCTCGGGTTCAATCAGCTGCACCTCATCTTCGATCTTTGATATGTCTACTGCAGCCACAGTACAATTCCAAAATCTTATAGCGAAAGCTACAATCATCAAGACGCAAATCAGTACATCAACATTGTTCCAGAAGTTGGAGAAGTATTTTTTGGCACTCCTCATGCAGATCATTTGATACACTTCCATTTGGATTCGTGCTAGCACACATAGCCAAAGAATTATTTCCGGAATGTTTATCCTGGAATTGCTTTGAAGAAAATCTTCTGCATAATCATTATTGATTTCGCCCCCTTCTTGATCCTCCAAAACAAATTTGTCAGGAACTGTTAAAGCAACGTAGAGAAGAAGACCCAGAAGGATGGCATAGTTAAGAAGGTCAGCAAGAAAAGAGTAGAATGGTGTGGTAATACTCAGGGAAAGATAATCTAAACGACTATATTTAAAATTCCATTCTCTCAAAACCAAGTAGTCTTTGATTAGCAATAACAAATATATTGGTCCCACAAAGAAGGACGTGAACGGTTTAAAAACAAAAAGAGCTTTTCCTCTGTAGCTCTTAAAATCTTTATTACCATAAAACTCTTCAAGAACTATTTCTTGGCAAAATGGATGCGACAGAAACTTTTTTTCTTTAGTCTCCAGAGCGTTTTCAATGTAGTTGGAACCACAAAGCAAACGCCTTGCTTCCCAAAGCGTACGACAAGCATCCAAGTAAGCAAAGGTGAAATCTCTGGCTGACTTAACGAGGATTTTGCAGTCAGTGGTGTATTCCTTTTTAACTGAAGCAACCTTGAGAAGCGCACCAATAATTTGATGGGCAGTTTTTATTGGGTCCTTGGTAAGCATCAAAAATTCATGTTGGAAAAAGGCTGTAAGGGACAACATTGCGGTGCGAGATTCTTTGTCGGGATTTTCCAGAGTAGCACACAGAGTATCCACTGCCTGCTTGATGTCTGCTCCATGGAGTAGTAGTTGCCGGAGGATATTCTTATTATCAGTATTAGTAGCAGTAGAGTTTACCTTTAAACTCACGGATCGGGCTACATAGACTAAAGGACAATCCTTGTTATCATCCACTTGGTTCGGATTGGCCCCATATTTCAGGAGCATCATTGTCATATTGTTTCTGGAGGACCCCATTTTACATGACAGAAGGAGAGGGCAATTACCGAAATGATCACGAGCGTTTACCAGATTTATTTCCGAGTGATATTTCTTTTTGCATCCAAATTTTGGTACGATTTCTACTGGATGGCAGTTTTTTTCAAGAAAAGATTCCATCTCAATATCACTCCCCATTTGGATGATGAGAAATAACCTTTGCAGCCTTTCAAATCTTTGATCTGGGGTTAGGTTTTTAGCTCTCTCCTCTCGTGCTTTTCTTTCTTTTTTTAACCTGGCATTTGTAACAACTCTGTTGTTCTTATTAATCGGTCTCCCCAACTTTCCTCGCTTTGTTTCACTCTGAAGCGAACTGGAAGTGACGAAAGACCGATCTCTACTTTGCTTTGAATTCAATTTGATTCCAATGGGAGTTATAGGTTTTACCTTCTCTTTGAAAGGCTGGCGTCTTTTCTCTTTAGTTCGGCGAATGAGGGGTGTACGAGATGATTCATATTCCTCACGAGAAAGTGATCTGCGGTTGACAGCGTTGTCTTCGTTACCAGTCTGATCACTGCTTACAGTTGTATCAGACTTCCAATCCTCACTTACACAAACCTCTAGGTCCTCACTCTCACTGGAATGTTCTGCAGCTAAACGTTTACTCCTGAGACTAGTCAGTAAATCACCAATTCCCTCGCGGATATCTTGAAACTGGGGCTTGTTTTCTCGCCAGTTTTGCAAATCTTTCAGCACCAATTGTTGATTTTCAGATGCCTGCTTTAAATTAAAAAAGTCATGAACCTTTTTATTTTTGTGACCAGTTTTTGATAAGAATCTTGGCTTCTTTCTTTGATGAAACTGATCTTTGCCATGATCGTCTTGACTAAGATCAAAATTTGAAATGGTGGTATCCTGGTTATTGTCAGGACCATCGTCAAGGAAGTATACTATGGGTAAGCCCAAAGGAATAGGAATGTTATCAGGTTGGATTGAACTACAACCGTATTTATCCTCCCCTCCATCAGAATTTATGCTGTTCCAACCCGAACGCTTAAAGCTTGGGCTAAAATCTAAACTCATCTTTCAGTCTTTTAAGCGACGAGAAACCATTTGAACATGATGAGTCTTAGCTGAAAGATGATTCTTTACAGCTATTTTTCTAGCTGGTAAAGAGTTTTAAGATTAGGGGAGATCACGGTCAAATGGGAAATTTGGTCAAATGGGATTTTGCGATTTCAGGAAAACAGGGATACGGTACCCTGATAGAATTATGTAACTGGTATCCCAAAGATATGAGCTACATTCCATTCTTATTGCTTTGATATGCCAAGATAATTCGATTTTGCTCATAAACACTCTACGTTGTTTCCTGGGAAAAGAAACTATAATTTCCGTTATACTTTCGCTGATTCTGGAGTGTTGTACTTTACTTCTGTGTCTGTCCATTTCCAACCCTATTATTTAGTTACTCTAGACACTTTTAAGAGTGTAATGATAGTTGTTTGATATCGATATGCATGTTAAAAATTAGTTTCTAGTGCTTTTCCAACGCAGCCTATTTCGGTCATATGGTACGATTTTATTTAGCTATTCGGGATATCCCATTTACTTACTTTGTTACTTTGTAGGGTTTCATAGAATCCTCTATCGGGCCATCGAAAAAGTCGACCCCCCGGACAGTGTAGAAACTGTTTTATCACCACTCCAATCAAGCAAGGAGTTTCCATTCCGACGGCTGTATCCTGGAGCTGGAGGCTCGTCCGGAAATGACTTCACAAAGTTCGTTAAAGCCGCTTTGAATTACATAGGATCCTCGATGGTGTGCATATGTGTTGGGATTACATTCCATAATCGAGGTCCAGTGACTGCAAATGAGTTGTCATGTAGTGCTTGATTACGTTGACTGCTGGACTTAGCTATACTGGGCACAACTGCTTTTTGACCATGTCTGAGAGTCACCGAGAACTGGATACCAATATCATTAGGGCACTTGCAATGCAGAACTTTCCACATGTTGATGATTAAATACCGTTCTCTTCTTCTTTGCAATGACATCAGATCTAGGGCCTTTAATCTCTGCCAGTAGTTGAGGTGCTGGGTGCCATCTATTTTCAATGTAAACGTACGCTGAATCCCTTCTAGCTGTTGGATGTCCTTGTTCTTAGAGCAATTCCACAGAGGACAGCAATACTCCAGATGGCTTCTAACGAGAGACTTGTACAGAGTCATCATGGTGGCTTTGTCTCTCGTTTTGAACGCACTTAGCACCCAAGAAGCAACTTTTCCTGCGCGTTCAGCTATCCTGTTGACGTGTGGGGTCCAGGACAAATCAGCGGAAACTGTCACTCCTAGATCTTTCACCGTTTGAGTGGGGTACAGCATGTTTCCGTTAGACACTTCATATGTTTGAGCTTGGATGGCGAATGGATGATCAAACAAGGAATTCTTTGGACAATGCTTGTGAACAAGAAGCTCGAACTTATCCTCATGAAGGGCCATGTTGTTGCACTTAGCCCAATTAACAACAGAGTTGAGATCATCCTGCAGGACATCTTTGTCGGCCAAACTGTAGATATGCTTAAGAATCCTAGTGTCATCAGCAAAGAATCTGATGACAGACCCTTTAACACATAGCTTCATATCATTTATGAACAGAATGAATAACAGTGGCCCAAGAACGGTGCCTTGTGGAACTCCACTGAGGATTGCGGCAGCAAACGATGATACACCATTTAACACAACACATTGCTTCCTTTCAGTCAGGAAGGATCGGATCCAGTTTACCACCTTCTCATGAAACCCCAATCTCTTCATTTTCAGAAGCAGTAACCGATGATCGACCTTATCAAAGGCTTTGGCAAAATCCAGATATATAGCGTCAGTGTCTGCATTTCTAGTAAGACCTTGAACTATATCGTCTACGTGACTTAACAGCTGGGTAAGGCAGCTTCTTCCTGAGCGGAACCCGTGCTGGTTGTTGCAGAGTAACTGATTTTTCTCAATAAAGTCAACCATAACACCACGGAGGATACGTTCATACACTTTGATGATGTGCGAAGTGAGAGCAACTGGTCTGTAGTTGACTGCCTTGGCCCTGTCACCCTTTTTAAATAGTGGTGTAATGTAGGTGTCTTTGTAGAACGATGGCACTGTACCGTTTTCAAATGATTCCTCCCAAATAATACGTATAGGAGAACACAACTCCTTAGCACAGTTTTTCAAGAGAGTTGTAGGTATTCCGTCCGGTCCACAAGCAGAATCTGTAGAGATACTTTTTATAGCTGAAATGATATCTTCGTCACTAATTCTAAAGTCCTCTAGTTCTTGTGGGTGCTGGATAGAGGGAGGGGAGAAAACCGGATCCTTAACATCAGGAGAGGTCGGATCGCTAAACACAGAGCTGAACTGTTCCTGCAGCAGATCGGCCATTTTCTTGGGGTCTGTGGTTATCTCCTGGTTGCTATCAAAGAGCATGTTAATACTGGATTTGATCTTCGACAGAGACTTAGCATAACTGAAAAAGAACTTGGGATTTGTTTTGATCTTTTCTACTGCCCTGGATTCCTTTTCATCAAGTCTCTTGGTATGGGCACATCGAATATCATACTGTAGGAGTGCAACCTTGTTCCTAACATTTCTGATGTGATCGTCAGGTGCACCATTGTTGACTAAGGCATTCAGCCTTCCCTGGAGTCGGTTCCTTTTACGCCGCAAAGCATTGGTATGTTTTGGGCGCCCAGAAGGTTTAGCCTTGCGGGGAACATGAGACGAGCATATCTGAAAGAGGGTCTCAGTAAACAAGGCTGGGAAGTCTTCAAAAGAGCATGAAGAACGAAGTTGAGACCAGTTAGTGTCTTCTATCTCGTCTCTGAGCGAGCTGAAGTCTGCTTGGAGAAAATCAAGGCATCTGTACGAGTTTTCATCAAACTTCGGCACTGCTGATTTCTCCTGTTCAAGTGGATTATATGCTAGCATAACATCTACCACGTGATGGTCTGACATTGTTGTGGTTTTGCATTCAACATTTGTAACAACTCGGTTGTTGTTAGTAATAAACAGGTCCAAAACATTGTTTCCTCTCGTTGGACACATTACGTACTGACTCAGCAGATGATCAGACATGAAAGTTAAGAAATGCTGTGCTGACTGCTGAATTTCTTGCGTGCCTCCAGATTGAACACAATTTGTCTGCCAGTCAATTGAGGGTAAGTTAAAGTCTCCAGTCATCATGATATCGTAGCTGTCGTCATTAATACTACTGATACATACGGAGAAAAAACTGAGGAGTGCTTTAAAGCTTGACAAGGATGCATTAGGCGGACGATAAGCCACAGCAACACATGTCTTTATAGTGCTGAAACTACAGAAAAGTCCTTCACACGTGCCGTCATCAAACGTGTTACACTCACTGACCGGTAAGTTGATATGAGAGTAGAGTAGAACACCCCCTCCCACCCTTGCATCACGGTCGCTGCGAGATACCGAATAGCCTGGTATTTGCAGTTGTGCGTCTGACATATAGGACTTGAGCCACGTTTCCGTAAGTGCTATAAACGGTAACGAGTGGTTTCTGAATTTCTCATCCTGAATAAGAGCTGAGATTTCTGGCACTTTCCATCTACTCGTACTAGGATTCATGGACTGGACATTTAAGACGAGGCATGAGGAATAAGGGGCACGTGTGTCCTCTGAGGCGGTAGGAACTGCGGGTACTGGTAGTGGTATAGTGGGAGCGCTGTTCCTGGCTGAAGAGGTGGAGGTGGTCTGGGGTAGTGGTAGGGCATTTGAGTTTGAGGGAGGCTGGACCGGTGGTCGACTATTTCTGATAGGAGTCCGATCCTGGTTTGCATCGTTTCCAACAGTCTCCGTAACTCTAAAAAATCCTGATTCGCCGCTGTTACACCTTTTGATGGCATGGATTTCTTATTCTCTGCTTTTCCCTTCTTGTGTCCAACAGCAGAGTTTGTCTGACGGCGGGTACCCTTCAAATGAATAAAAGTGCAGTCAGACTTCGTGCAAAGTTTATTCTTAACTGAAAACTTGCACAACACAGGGTGAAGAAACTTGCAGTCTGGACCTTTACTGCAACCAAACTTGTGCTGATTTCCGTATTGACAGAATCTGTTACAATACTTCGGGTGTTCAAACTCACAAATCTGACCATTATGTTTCTTCTTCCCCTTGAGACCATGAGGACACTTTCCACGCTTGTACTTCTCACAAATTCTCTCCTGCGCAGCAGCAGATGATTTCTCGTGAAGCTCTGAATCGTCAATTGCTACACTAGATTGAGAAGTGGAGTGTTCTGTGATTTCCTCGGATGAGGACATTTGTGACGCAATCAAATCCTGCTTGGGTTGCTGAGATTCGGAATCTGATTTGTTCACAGTACTATCATCTGATTTGTTCACAGTACTATCATGCCGGCTCTTCGATTTTCGTGGTTTAATAGGAATGCTTGATTCCATGCATGATTTACACAACCAAACATAACTAGAAAGAACAGTAGCACTAGTCAAAACATCGTGGAAACTCGTAACAGCAGAACAGTTGTGAGATCCCCGAAAACACATATGACAGTGAAAAACGGGTTTCTGATCGGCTTCAAACTCAACAGTGTACTTTTCGTTACATTCCAAGCATTCTGATGGCAGGAACGCACGGAGCTCGAACTGAATTCTATTGGCAAGACTGTCCTTTGTATACAGTTTGTTCCCGTCTGAGTCGGCTAAATCAATGTTCAAAAACTCTGCACACGGTTCCAACATATCAAGATTAAAAGCAGATATTAACTTGACATTTGCTGAACGCTTTGCAGAGTGGTCAAAAACTGAAATGACACGTTTCACAATTTCATTACTTCCTGCACGGAGAAGCAGGTTCCCAATAGCCAGTTCATTAGAGTTATCGCCTGACATTGTACACTTCTTGTATACAGTTACACACGTTGTACACAAGGTTATCACAGAGTAATACCGTTTTATCAATAGAGATAAGAGAGCTGCGTAATGTACAACCAAAGCAATTTAACAAATTTAGCCAAAATTTTGCTATCCCATTTAACCAAACTGCGTTATTTGATCTGTATATGAGCTCTTCCTTGCAGGAATATGGCCCCAAAAACAGATAAAACTAAAAAGAAGCGTAATATATAAACATGGGGTT